TGGATGAAATACTGTAGGGAAAAGGGTGTGTGTGCGCACACGCACTGGCACTGTTGTTAGAGCTAGAACTCAGGGCCTGGATGCTATCCCTGAGCTTCTTTTTGCTCAAGGCTAGCTCTCTGCCATTGGAGGCACAGCTCCACTTCTAGCTTTTTGGTACTAACTAGAGATAAGAGTCTCATGGACAGCTGGTGCCAGTGGCTCATGCCTGTAATCCTAGAATCAGGAGGCTGAGATCTGAGGATCGTGGTTCAAAGCCAGCCCGAGCAGGAAAGACCGTGAGACTCCTATCTCCAATAAACCACCAGAAAACCGGAAAGTGGCGCTATAGTTCAAGTGGTAGAGCACTAGCCTTGAGCTGAAGAGCTGAGGGACAGCGCCCAGGCCCAGAGTTCAAGCCCATGACTAACAAAAAAAAAAAAAAGATCATGGTTCAAAGCCAGCCTAGGCAAGAAAAGTCCATGAGACTCTTATCTCCAATAAACCACTCAGAAAAGGGAAAGTGGCGCTATAGTTCAAGTGGTAGAGTGCTCGCCTTGAGCTGAAGAGCTGAGGGACAGCAACCAGGCCTAGCGTTCAAGCCCCATGACCGACAAAAAAAAAAGACTCTCAAGGTCTTTCCACCAGGCTGGCTTGAACCACAATCCTTAGATCTCAGCCTCTGAGGAGCTAGAATTACAGGCATGAGCCACCAGCAGATGAAAGGCTTTAAAATGTATAAGTAAAATCAACTAAAGAAACTCTATTCTTTGACAACCAAATTATTTTTATTTCTTGGTTTAAGGATAAAGACCAACTCCATATAGATTCCATTACCTCATATGGTCCACGGAAGTCTTTTTAGGACAAATATTATTTCATGTTATTATACCTTAGACCAGATTCTAGGGGAACTAAGTTAAGTTAGGAATAGTCTAGTACACTATAGAATTTGTATTAATGAAAAACATAAAGTAATGACAAACTTGAAGAAAGAATCATTACATAGTTCATGAACATAGTTTTACTAGGTTCCTTTACTTAGAAAAAAAAAATCATATGGAAAAGCACTAGTAAATTTGCCAGAAAAGAGAAGGGAAGAGTGAGCTGAACTATGGACACTCTGGACAGGCTCTGAGAACATCAGAGGCCAGCAAACCTGAGAGTTTCCATAAGGTCCACCACATACTCTCTAGAATTGTTAACTCTGCTCTAGAACTGCCAAGTCCTATCTAAAAAAGTTACCAGAAACGGGACTTCTTTGGGAAACATCACTTAAAAAAGCCTCCAGCTCTGTGGCAAGGAGGAATTCTTAGGAAAGGAAGACTGCCTGTACTCACAGGATAATAGGACTAGAGACATAGAGAAAACAGAACCATATATATGTTCTATAGGAAACCATACTGTAATCAGCTGAAAGTGTACAAGAGATTCAAAACTCCACAAATCCAGGCCTAAAATGCATAAATCCCAGTGAAAGATCATAAAATTCATGAACAAACAAGACAACATTTCCCTAAAAAAACTCTCACTTAATTGTGAGTAAAAAGAAAAAAAGTCTAAATAAGAGTGCAATAAAACAATGATAAGATTGGTTAACAATATAAAAGAATAGATGTTTAAAAAACTGGATGAATTCAAAGAAGATTCAAACAAATAGCAAAATAAATTGAACAACTAACAAGAGAAAGCAAACAACAAGAGAATACAAACAAAAAGCTGAATGAATTAAAGAAGGCAATGCAGGATATAAGAAGATTCAATAGTGATGAAACCTTTGAAAAAAATCAAAATCTTGAAAATGAACTTAGTTTTCCAAATAAGAAAAGTCAAGGGAAAGCCTAATAGAATAGACGAAGTTGAAAACTGGGTATCAGAAGGTTGGAGATCAAGTCAAAGATACTGAAGGAACACACAGAAGATACTAAGGGGAAAGACTCAAAAGGTCAAACCTACAAATTGTGGGAAAGACAAGAAATAAAAGCTGAAGGCATTAAAAAAAAAACCTATCCAATGAAATAATGGCAGAAAACTTCCCCAATGTCAACAAATAGCACACCGACATGTGAGGGGGATTTACAGAACTACAAACAATCAAGATGAGAGAAGAACCCCCTCCAGATACACTACAGGAAAAACACCAGATACATAGAATAAAAATTATTGAAAGCTGCACAAAAGGGGAAATAAGTTACTTACAATGAAAAGCCCATTAGAATGATAGCAGATTTCTTGACATATACACTAAATGCAAGGAGGGCATGCAAAGACATAATTTAAGTCCTGAAAGATAATTGCCAACCTAGCCTACTTTACCCAGTGAAGCTATCCACCAAAATTGATAAGAAATAAAATCCCCTCCATGACAAACAAAAGCTAAAGGAATTAATGACAACTGAATGAGCACTACAAAATCACTTAGGAGAATCCTACCACATAAGAAGATAATTAAAAACAAAAAAAAATAGAAGAAAGCATAAATCTTACTAGAGGAGCAGACTTTCAAAGCAGAAAGAGGAAAGAAAACTATGGCACAACAAAAATTACAAGAAATACAACATTCCTTCCAATATTACTACTGAATGTTAACTGTTTAATTCTCAAAACAAAAAAGAAAAAAACAGAGTGGTAACTAGGATTAAAAAAATAAGGTCCAACCACTATCTGCCTATAAGAAGCACATCTAACTGACAAATAAGCTTAAAGGGGCAGGGGAGGAGTAGGAGGGGTGAGGGGGGGGAGAGAAAAAAAGACATTACAAATGGATCCTGAGAGCTGGAGGAGTAGCTAGATATATCTGATGAAAGAGACTACAAGCTGAAATCAGTCAGAAGAGACAAAGAATGTCACTGCAGATTAATGAAAGGAATAATGCAAGCACAGGAAATTAGACCATAATGGACTTAAAATTTGAGCTCAAAAGCAAAAACTACTACAGAAAATACTCAAACACATGGAAACTTAAACAATACACTTTTGAGTGACATGTGATTCAATGAAGAAATAGAGAAACTTAAAAGTTCCTGAAAACAAATGAAAATAAATCTTACTAAAACCTCTGGGATATAGCAAAGGAAGTGTTAGTAAGAAAATAAGAAGAGAATTCATAGCCATGAGTGTCTACATAAAAAAAGCAAGCAAACGTCTATAAAAACAGGAACAAACCAAACTTAAAACTAACAGATGGAAAGAAATAGTAAAATATTAGGACAGAAATTAATTGAAATATAAACTAAAAAAAAACAGACAAAGAATCAATGAAACAAAAAGTCAATTCTTTGAAAAAAATAAGACTGGTAGGCCCCTAATTTGACAAAAGGAAGAAAAGATTCAAATCAATAATATTAGAGATAAACAAGGGAAAATTCACAAAAAATACCCAAACAATCCAAAGGATCATGAGGGTATACTTTGAAAGCTCATACCAAAATAAGCTAGAAAATCTAGAAGAAATGAATAAATTTTTAGATACAGTTGACCCATCAAAACTGAACCAACAAAACAGAACTGAAATGGCATCTTCATCTCTCACCCTGAACAAAAGATCAATTAGTTAAGACAGTTCTCATCAGAGGAAGTACAAATTGCTAACAGATACATGAAGAAATGTTTAACATCCTTAGCCATAGAAGAAATGCAAATCAAAACCACACTAATATTCCATGTCACCCTAATTGAAATGGCAGCCATAAAGAAAATTACAAGTACTGTCAAGGATATGGGGGGAAAAGAAACCTTCATATACTCTTGGTGGGAATGTAAATCAGGACAGAGGTTCTTCAAAAGACTAACCATACACCTTCCCTATGGTCTTGCTTTACCACTATCAGACTATCTAAAGGAGAGTAAATAAGTATACCAGAAAGACAGTTGCATACATGTTTATTGCAGCACTGTTCACAATAACTAAATCATAGAATCAGACAAAGTGCCCAACATCAGATGACTGTATGATCAACATGTGAAATATTAAGAAATACTAATGAATGTTACATAGTCATAATAAAAACTGAAATCATGTAATATGAAGGAAAATAGCTACAATTGGAAAACATCAAACTGAGCCAGATGTCAGGTTCAAAATACAAAATATCTTTTTATTCATATGTGGAAGGGAGACCTAAAAGACTTACATATTTATAGACATATACATATGCACATATAAACACATACATATTTATATAGCTACATATGGATACACACAGGATATGAATTTAACTAAAAGACTACTTAGGAATCTTCCTGAGACAAGAAAGTGGGGAGAGAAAAAGAATAATGGAGGGCAAAGATTTTTGAAATATATGTTGAGAGGATGAATACAGTAAAATAGACAATTTACAACTATGTATACAAGGAACCATGTTGAAATTATTTTGAGAAGGTGGGAAAGGAGGGTGAGTTTGATAGAAATATATTGTGAAAGTGTGGAAACATAACAATTAAATCCTCCTGTGTTTAGATAAAGTAAGCTGACAAAAAATTAATTAAAATTTTTTTGATGGTTATCAGGCTTGAACTCTGGGCCTGGGTGCTATCCCTTAGCACTTCAGCTTAAAGCTATCATTTTACCACTTGAGCCACAGTACCACTTCTGGTTTTCTGAGTGGCTTACTGGAAATAAGAGTCTCTTGGACTTTCTGGCCCAGGCTGGCTTTGAACCACAATCCTCAGATCTCAGCCTCCTGAGTAGCTACGATTACAGGCGTGAGCCACCAACACCTGCTTAATTTTATTTTTAAAAAGAGGTCAAGAAAGACCCAATCAGAAAAGTCTTTAATGAGTAAACTAACAGTAGAGACCTAACTTACATAGATTGGCTAAGAGATCAGAACAAGCTACAATACAACTTGTTTCATTAATCTTAATATTAGTGCATTTTATGTGCAATGTTTTAGTTCATCCATATTAATAACTGTCTATTCATTGTTTCCCCAAACCACAGAAATGATTAAAAAAGCAAATTTTCTCTAATAAAAACAGAAGATAATTAATTACAAACAACACTAAAATTTATAGATTACCTTCATCAATGTACCATGTATTTTTTGATTTGGATTGTGGTTGTGAGTCAACAGAAGACCCATTTAAGGTATAAAATAATTCAGATCTGTTTCTATTTCCAGGGTCTGAGGTAGATCCTATGGAACAAGAAAAGTTCCTTTAAAAAGAAGTCAGTATGATATAAAAAATTTTTATTTTTTAAAGAGAAATGAATATGTACATGGTGCAAACAACTGTTCATACAACCAGTAGGTACACAATACATTTTTATTGCTATCTTCAGCTTTTGAAAATTAGTAACCAATGTGGCCACAATACAAAGATCATTCACCCCTAGAGTTAATACAGAAAAAAAGGAACAAATTAGAGTCACTCATTTTCTCATTTCTAGGAAAGTTTATTCTGAAGTGTCAAAATCACCATTCCCAAGTTTCATTTTATGAATCTGTTGGTTCACAACAATCCATAATAATGCAGTTGATGTTTCAGTTGATGACAGACTGCATATACTTCAGTGTTAGACCACATGGCCTAGGTCTATAGTAAATGACACTATCGAAGTCTGTGGAAATAACGCTGTTTGATGTTCACACAAAGATAAAATTGCCTAATGATGCATTTCTCAGACTGTATCCCCATTAGTGACACATGACTGCATTTTAAAACAGTTCATTTCCAGAGAAGATAATCTTTTCCTGAGGCACAGTAGGTCAAGTCTACAATCCCAGCTACTTGGCCATGGTATGCATATCTCTCACCTCCACCAATGTGAAGAAGCACCAGTAGAAGGATCACAGCACAGGCCAGCTTAGGCATTAAAACATTGTACACATAAATTAACAAGTTTAATTCATACCTTTATAAAGCTAGTTAAAGATAATTTTTTAAAATGCCAGGTGCTGGCAGCTTACAACTGTAATCCCAGCTACTCAGGAGGCTGAGATCCGAGGATCTCGATTCAAAGTCAGCCCACAGGAAAGTCCATGAGACTCTCATCTCCAATTAACCACCAAAAAGCCTAGAGTGGAGCTATAGGATAATGACCAAAGCCCAGTATCAATAATTGAGTAAGCAAATAATTGATAAACATAATAGCCAACACAAAAGTGATTGACCCTGAGTTAATTCCTAGTACTACTAAAAAAAAAGAAAGAGAAGCTAATCTTCTAGTGCTGTATATAACTGATTCATGAATTAAGAAACTTTAACACTATGGCTGGGGGGAGGTGTTGATGTGGTGTTTCTTTGTGGTAAAGCACTTGCCTAGCACATCTGAGGCCATGGATTCAATCCCCAGCACCAAAAAAAGAACTTTAGGGGCTGGCTGAGACTATATTACTAAGTAGCAGAATCCTGCCTAGCATGAGTGAGCCCTGGTTTTGATTTCCAACACTGCAAAATATTTATTTTAATTTAGAAAATTTTCAAGAGATTTAATATTTAAATATTATAGAATTGTTGGTCATCAAAATTTTCTGTAGTTTTCTCATATATAAAAAATGAAGTACTCATATATCTTATATATCAGATTTATTAAATTCAATAGTTAGTATAGCTATGTCACAAACATTTCCAGACTCTGTCCTGCCTCAGTATTAACAGGTTGTGTTGTAGTAGAGAGCAGTGTGGTCTCCAGAACTCATTCAAAAGCCACCAGCTTTTCTTTTTATAGCTGATAGCTGTATACTTTATAATTTTAACTCAAAATTGCTATAACACAATTAACATACTCTGCTGAGTATAACAGTAGCACTATTTTCCTCAGCTACTTGGGAAGATAAGGAAGAAGTCAATTGCATTAGCTTTTCTTGGATTACCCAAGTCCAGGAGTTCAAAGCTAACTTAGAAAACAAAGCCAAAGTAGCTTGAGACCCGATATATCTATATGTTAACATAAAAAAATACCACTACCTATATATGCTGCAATAATTCTAAGTTTTGGGGCCTAATATCACATAAAATATTCCTTAAATTTCCTTTAAGCAAGCCAAAGTAGCTTTGCTCAGAGGATAATTGAAGGAAAACATATTCTTCTCCTAACTCACATCTGAGTTAACAATAATTCTTTCAGTTTTTTAATGAGCTGTTTAGTTTAGCTATAAACTTATAAATCTACGAAGTATGTAGAAGCTAACAGAAAAAGAGGTGTGAAATTCACATTTATCATAAGGAGCTTTCTGAAAGTGACAAATTTCTTCCTTATCATTTTATAACTTAATTTGTGCTTCATCTAACTAGTAAAATGCACACAATAAATCCCCAGAACATTTTATCCTATATAACATTATCCAGATGTAATCATTTTATACAGTTACAATGCTATAAATTAATTTCAGAATATAACTATTCTATAAAATACTGTTGCAAGTAAGGGGTTTCAAAATCCAGCTGTTAGGGACCAGAAAAGACAAAATTCTTCATTGGAAACATCTCAATTATCAGGTTGGTTTTTTTTTAAAGGTAGGCAACTTTTAGTTGGTATTAAACAATTCCATCTGTATAAAATTATAATTTATTTAATATATGTGACAGAAAAAGTCTATATAATATTAAGGCCTATTAGCTTATAATCTTTGGGGTGGTGGTAATCAGGTTATGTAAGTTACCAAGAATTGTACCCTATTAAGCCATACCTGTAACCTTTGGTTTATTATGACTGGATGAACCTTTGTCCCCAACACCTCTTGACATAAAGGCAAGTTTGAGAGGCCTCCTTTCCTGTGCCACGCTATCTGAAATAGTAAACATGCTTTTTAAAGGTAATTCTTGTATAAAATTAGTTAAGCAAACAATGACAACAGAAACAAAAAAAATCCCTTTCTAACAAAACAGCACAATTCTTAGAGTTTTACGAATTATTTTTTAATTATCAAAGACATAGAGGGGCAAAAAAAATCAATACTATTCTGAAAGATGTAATTTCTACAAGACAATACACTCCAAAAAGTACACTCTGACTAACTGCTTCAAAATCCTGAACATGTAATCACATGCAGTCGATGTTACTTGATGTTTTTAAGCAACACATATAGAACCTTGTATTTTTGCAACATTTCCCAAACCAGTATGCTCAGCACATACTTATGTCTCATGAAGTATTCCTTACTCAAATATTTCTAAGAGATGCTGAAATAAACAGATAAGTTCTTTCTTTCTTTCTTTCTTCCTTTTTTGCTGGTCCTGGGATTGAACTCAGGCTGGGCACTGTCCCTGAGCCTCTTTGTGTTCAAGGCTAGCACTCTACCGCCTGAGCCACAGCACCACTTCCCAGACAATTTCTTTACTGAATAAAACCAGAATCTTTATGTATTAATGTGTCTTGTGAATCTCTCAAGATGGATATAATAAGGTTATTTAACAATATATTTTGTGCCACTTAGTATCTTAGAATAATACATTTCTTAGACAAGAGTTTAAAAAAAACTGGGTAGAAATGTAGATCACTGTTAGGAATGCACTGATGAGGAATATGCATGGTTAGAACAACATAGATAACTATACAAACACACATAAACAGCAAAACAGTAATTACACAGATATTTAATGCAGAAAGCCAGAGACACACAATCGCGGTACTTTCTAAAGAAATCACTATAAATCTCCCTTTGTAATCTCTTTAGCAAACTTGTTTTCTGAAACAAAGAACATTCTAAACCTTAAAGTCCAGTATAATTTATGAGCCACTCATAAATACTGATCATATAGATGTAGACCAGTCAGTATAGCAAGCTTTTCTCTTGGGAAAGTCAACAACACAGCTGTGAGGTCCAACATGACACTGAGGAATCATACCTGATAAAGCTGTATATCATCAAAAATGGAATCACCCACAGTAGATTTTTTGAGGACAGAAAGAAAGAAACAGGAAAATTTTAAACACAAAGAAAAGGCCATTAAGAAAAAGGTCATAATGAATAAATTGTGTGTAAATAATCTTGGTACATTTTTCCCCATGGTTGGAGGAGGGAAATATATTTTATTAGACTATGTATCTTACACATCTCAGAATATGATCAAATGGAATGCTAGAATATTATTTTAACTCAAATATTATACTTACCAACCATATTTTAATAAGAGCTAGAGCAAAAGAAATTATATTCAACAAGTGGCATAGTAAAAGAAATACTATTACTAATACTTTTATGATGCTATCACTCTGATATCTATATATGTTATTTATGATAGCTACTACAGAAAGGAAAATGTCTCTAGGAAAAGTTCCCAAATTACAGCAGACAAACTGACTAAGACAATGCCCACTATTAACAGTAATTAAACATGCATACTGTATTTGAAAAGAGATCTCTGTATTTATACCATAATATATGTGTATTACATGGCAAGGGATCATTACAACAAACATGGCTAAGGGTACTCCTGCTGTGAAGGTGCAAAGGAAGCATGCCAGATGAGGGGATGAGGTCTGACACCAGTTCTGCTGCTGATGCTAGAGAGGGGCTCAAAGATCAGGAATGTGAGCTGGAAGGCACTGGAGTCGGAACCTACGTTACCTTCTGCCAAAGGCAGTCTGGAAGAGGTCACAAAACAACTAGGAAGAATCCCAACAGAACTCTATGCAGATAAGGGGTCATATATCACATCTACCTTGCCTCCAGCAGCTACAAACCAAAGTTTCTTATTACTTTGTAACTAGCAAAGCCTTCTGGCATAAATACAGTTAAGTAGTACCAACTTAGGAAAATGTAAATATGGGTAGTGAACAAAGTAAGGAGTAAATTCAGTAGACAATTTTATGAGATTACAATGATCCTGATTAGAAATATTAAAAGAGATAGCAAAATAGGTCTATCAAATACAAACTATACAAAGCAATCCTATTAATAAATAAAAGCTAAAAACAATCCATTCTACAGTAGAATAAATAAATTGTGGTCTATTCATACAGACGATCATTACATAGCAATAGGAAGGTATACATAACAATATGAACACTGTGATTAACAAAAGAAACCAGATCTAAGGAATACAGGACTGCATTCAAAATGATACAATAGCAGCTTGTTACTTTTCTATTTCATCAGAAAAAGAAAAATCCTTTGGGGAATATTGGGCTGAAAATAATAATAGTCAATTATGAAAGAAGTTATTTTTCAAACCAGAAGAAATATGAATCTGAATGACTCATTAAATTTAGATAAATTGTTTAATTGACATGCTGTTTGACATCTTCAGTTGCAGAGCCCAATTTAAGTCCAAATAAAAAGTGAAGCTATCTTTATACCAATAGATTAAAATGCTGTAAAACCTTACACTAGGCATACTACATATAGCACTTCTCCAAATGTCTCTACAAGACTGGAGTAGTGGTCAAAATAAATATTTTACTTACATTTTAGCTGGTGCTGTATAAAATATGTATCTACATATAACCTTACAGAAAACATCTGAGTTGAATACATCTCTTTTGTTAGGGCTCTGTCTCAAATAATCTTAAGTCCAGTTTCTATAGACAGCATCCAGGTCTATTCTTTTTTTTTGGGGTGGGGGGGTCCGGTCTGGGGCCTGAACTCTGGGCCTAGGCGCTGTCCCTCAGCTCTTCAGCTCAAGGCTAGTGCTCTACCACTTGAGCTACAGCGCCACTTCCAGCTTTTTTCTTTTTGCTTATTTGATGCTGAGGAATCAAACCCAGGGCGTCATGCATGCAAGGCAAGCGCTCTACCACTGAGCCACCTTCCCAGCCCCCAGATAAATATTCTTTATGGAAGGTATTTATCATTATCTACCAAACTAAAATACACATATCCTTGACTCAGCAATCATAGTCCTAGGACATTATCTGATAGTTATACTACACTGTCTTACATACAAACTAACCCAGACACACAGACACACATACACAGATACATGATAAAGTTATTCATGGAAGCACTGTTTATAATAGCAAAAGAATGAAAGTAATAAATATTCATAGAGAATTGGTTAAAAGTTTATGTTACATTTATTATGTGAAATACAATATAATAATACAAGTAATAGTTACATGATTTATGTACTAATATGAAAGCATTTTATATCCATTGTTAACTTAAAAAGAGGGTACAATATCTACTTTTGGGAAGATGGAGTGAATGTATGTTTCCCTGTTTTCCCCACTAAGTAGATATAAAAAGTCTGTACATAAGATATAAAAGCTGGGCACTGGTGGCTCATGCCTATAATCCTAGCTACTTGGGAGGCTAAGAACTGAGTATCACAGCTGGAAACCAATATGGGCAGGAAAGGCCATGAGACTCTTATCTGCAATTAACCACCTAAAAACAGAAGTGAAGCTGTCGCTCAAAGTGGTAGAGCACTAGCCTTAAGCACAAAAAGCTCAGTGATAACACCCAGGCCCTGAGTTCAATCCCCACGACCAACAACAACTCTGAAGGTAGGAAGAGAAAGTTAAGCCTGCTAGGGATCTCTGGACTTAATGAATGACATGGATGAGAGCTCCCTACATTTTCTAGATATATAGGAGCTAGATCTATAAGACAGACAGACAGACAGACAGAGCTACAGAAGTCAGAAACCTAGAAATGACCATATGCACATTAAAGAAACCTTAATAAAAGTCAGCTTTCTCTAGCTAAAGGACATCAATTCTCCTAAAAGTATACACAGATTTAATGCAACTCTCATTTTTTAAAAAATCTCGTACTAAAGTGGAGAGGGAGAAGATTTAGAATAGCTAAAATAATTTTTCAAGTAAAGAATAAAGCAAGAAGAATCCATTTCTGCTGGCAAGACTTAACATTTCCCTAAGGTAATTGTGTCTATATGGGATTATCGGAGAATATAACACATAAATCAATGAATGGAATGAAGACCGAAGAAATAGAGCCATAAAAGTATGTCCAGAAAGAGACAGAGAGACAGAGAGATATTAAGAACTCAGGTCCTCAAGTTTACAATGCAGAAACTCAACTATTTAAGCCATACTTCTAGGCCTCCAATTTATTTATTTATTTTTCTTAATGTATATTTTTTATTGTAAAGATACTGTACAGAGGGGTTACAATTACATAAGCAAGGTAATGAGTCCATTTCTTATCAAGCATTATTACACCCTCCTTTATTTTTCCCTACCATCCCTCTCTTCTTCCCCCCCCTCCCGCAAAGTTGTAAAGTTCATTTTCAACATACTGTCTTATACATCCCATTGTTACAATGGGCCATCCTGCATCCTTATTTCAGCATTTTGTCATTCCCCTCCCCAATCCTATTTATTTATTTAACTATCTATCTATCTATCTATCTATTTATTTATTTATTTATTGTGGGTCATGGAGCCTGAACTCTGGGCTTGGGCGCTGTCCCTCAGCTCTTCAGCTCATGGCTAGCATTCTACCACTTGAGCCACAGTGCCTTCTGGCTTTTTTTTCCCTGTTTATGTTGTGCTGAGGAATCGAACCCAGGGCCTCATGCACGCAAGGAACGCACCTTTCCACTGAGCTACCTTCCCAGCCCCAATTTATTTTTGATAAATGTAC